TGGCAACAGCAGCAACATAAAAATGTGGTAGCGCACGGAGAGAGCCGAGGCGAAAGTGAAAAGTTGCCACTCTCATTGATGGCTGAAAATGATGGCGAAGATGCGCAGCAAAAGGGTAAATTCGTTGGAAGGAAAATGAAGCGGCATGAACGAGCGCAAAGTGCCAGCCAAAGCAATGTTGATGATAACACCGACGACGACGAGGACGAGGACGACGACGACGACGATGGCAGCAAGAATAGCAAAAATCAACATAGTGATAACACCAACAACAACAACAACAGGCACCCACATAAGCGCCATCCGCAAAAGGAAAGTGAAGTTGTTGCAAACACGTACGCACAAATGGCAGCAATTGCAAAGAATGTTGCAAAGCCAAAAAATCAACAACAACAGCTACAACAAAAATATCAACAAGAAAATCTTTCTCAGCACATTGATGAAGTTGCTGACAGCAATGGCAGTAGCGGCAGTAGCAACAACAGTGGTGAAGAGGGTTCACAAGCCGATTACTCAATAACCTATTTTGGCATCTTGGCAAACAGCTCGAAGAAGGAGCGCGAAAAGGCGTTAGTAGTACAAGAACAAGAGGAAGAGCAAGCAGAACTGAGTGAGCTGCTGCCACTGAACACCTCTGAAAATTCGGCCAAAACAACAGACAGTTTTTCGAAAATTGCTGACAGCGATGATGCGGCTAGAAGCCGTGAACCAGTGCATGCAACAAGAAATCAACAGCAACAAAAACAACAGCAGCTGCAACAAAAGCTAGCGGGTAAGTGTTGACTTTAGAAGGCTTTGGCAAAGCAAATATGTATTTATATGCGTATATTTTTAAATGTGTGTACTTAGCTTGACTCTGAGACAGTGCACGGACCTTACCACTTTATTGGTACCAAGTTTTTAACTGTATTTTATTTTCTACCATATTAAACAATGAATAAAATGAATAAAAAAAAAATTAAAAGTTAAAACTCAGCATAAGAAATTATGCAGGGGCTGAATCACCGCATGCGTGATCGAATCAAATTCAGATCGAAATCTTTTTTCAGGTTACGGCATTCGGTAGGGAGTTCGATTTTCAATTCAAAATGTATTTACGAGAAAACAGATATCATTTTTTTCATTCGATTCGAATAGTTTCATTCGATCACGGATGCCGTGATTCAGCCCCAGTTTTATGTATACGTTTTTTATTGAATGTTTTATTGGCTTGAAATAGATTTTTTTGTTGATTGTTTTTAAGGCCAGTGTTGAAATTTCCTATTGGGTCATTGGTAGAGATTTCCGGCCGGTATATTAAAAGGCAAACTGCGTTTCCTCTTTCTTCTACGCGTTTCGGCGTACTTCACGCCTTCATCAGGGAGTCTTTTTATTGTTTTATAAAAAACTACAACTTATCCCAAGGAGGATAAAATCAAAAATTATACTAACAAATTTTACGCAAAAAGGCAGTAAGAATCACAAGAAACACACCATTTTTGCATTGAGAACCACCGAGGCGAAAATCAAGCTGCTCGGATAACACTACCTTAAAAATTCCCCTTGATTTATCCTTTTTAAGTAAAAACTATTTAATATTGTTTCTTTAAAAAAAACTCTACCAACTGCCACCATTTTTTGTATGTAAAATCTACCACTATTAATTTTTTCGAAGTCCGTGCACTGCTTCTGAAAGTACATGAATACATATAGGTGTATATGTGTATGAAGTTGTGCCAACAACTCGTCCATAAGCTGGCTGTTGGTGTTTACCCCAGCGTGTGAGTTTTATACTCTGTTGGTTTATTGTTTCTGCAAGTGTTGGCTGCGCGCAATCATGCCGAAGATGTTAGCTGCCTTTAAGCTACCCTCAATGTGTTTAATTTGGAATAATATTTAGACAACAATATTTGTTGATTTTAATCGGTATTTACGTATACTCGTACGTATAAATAGAAAGTGGAAAGTGTGTTGGCAAATTTATATATGCCGCAGGTTGTGGAGTGTTTAATCACTCGCTGTGATTTTGTTTTCCATTGCCGTATAATGATATAAGTGGGATAAGTAAAGTATTATAAAATTAAATTATCTGGTTAGCTGTCCTTGGTAGCGGAAAGACTATAGAAAGGGCTGTAATAATATGACACTTCGAATTTTAGGTTGGTAGCACACAATACAAAGCGCTAGATCATTACCCAGTTTCTTTATATTGTATAAGATAGCTTCGTCTTCTATTCCTTCGCAGTCGTATTCGTCTTTGAATTGGTATCCGTCTCCGTATTCGTGTTGGTGTTCATATACATTCATGTTGGCCATTCTTACATTCTTATTGACCAGTATTCTTTTTTTATTTAATAATTAATATTTTTTTTATAAATGAGTAGCTCATTATACATATACACCTTGCGACAGTAAGAGCCAAATATAGTAAAATTTCATTTTTAGTTTTTCACTATGACGTCAGTAATTCAAAAATTATTTAAAAATTTCAGTGGAGTGTGCTTAGAGAGAATTATGGGTATGAAATTGAAAAGGGAATTCTGTATAATTTAAACGGATTCAATTTTTTGGTTTATAAGGACTGGTAAGTGTTGAAAATGTCCTTTTAAAATTTTATCCTTGAAATTTAGCAATATTTGTTTTAAAAAAAATTATATGTTAAGGACTATTACTCTAAGATTATCAGCTTAAAAAATTACCTATTCGTCCTTGTGAATCCAAAAATTTTTTATTATTTTTTTTTTTAATTCAAAATTTTTTATATAAAAGTGGGTTTCAGACCCATTTATTTATTATTTATTTTATGGTAGGAGAGCTTGTCAAACAATATAGAAGCAATTTTTCGATTTAATTGTTGAAAAGTAATGATATCTATATCCGGATTGTAATACTCCGGAAATTGGAATAAAAAATTAACATCCCTAGAGAATACTGCGCAAGGCTCAAAGTTTAAGCCGAAAAGGGAAAAAAAAATTATTTGTAGAGAGATAGATATAACGGTTATGTATGCTGTGCATATTTTGTTAGCGTATGTGTGTATGCTGTTATCTAAATTAAGTGGTCATGTTGGCTGTGCTTGCCATAAGAAATGCTCTCTAAGTCCTATGTGGCCTAAGGACAGATGAGGTTCTTAGGTGGCACGTGTGGCAACTAACCGAAGTGGAGCTCTTTTCCGCATACACAGCACAGGAAGATCTCTGTACCGAGGTCAGACTTGATTTCAGTCAATCATACGAAGTGCTACTCCAGGGATGAAGAACTATTAGAACGTTTCGCCAGTATAAACAGAGTTAAATAGAATAAAAAATGTTTCTTGGTCTGGTAAAGCCCGAGTAATTTTGGCCGTGGAAGAGCTCTAATCAAAAAGCTTTGCAAAAAGTATAAAATTATTTTCACGGAAGACTTAAAATAAAAAAAGAGTATATTTAAGTGGTCAAAACTTGATTTGTTAATAAAAGAATAAAAAGTTGTAGTTTTGTTTATTCCTTAAGCAGAGGAAAAAGTTGTTTTACACAAACATGCTCTCTTACAAAAAATTCAAATTCAAATACGTTTTTTATTATATGTAAGTATGTACGTTAAGGTCCTTTGCAGATATGCCGAGTAAAACTATTCAAAATGAGAATGCAAGACCAAAACAACTGCACTAATTTTCTCCAATTTCATACTAAAAATGATTGCTGGCATTAAATCATTCAAAATATTCTTAAGTTGCTTCATAAGAAACCCTAAACACTATGAGGGTAACAGTGAACAGTGAAAACCTTGTTTTATTTCATTCATCTGAGTCGTTCAATCTCCACAAATAAACATCAAAACAAATCCTAAACAAATATTTAATTCACTACAATAACATTTGCCTTCGCCCTAAGGGGATAACTTGTAATTAATTATGTAACAAAAGTATCTGCGTACTTCTGCTTTGGGCATTTCAAAAAATAGCCTTGAGTTTATGTATTTCTGAGCAGACTGATACTTAAAGCAACGATCTGCTGTACAAATTTTGAGCCAAAATAAATCCTAAAAGTAGTATAGTAGAGTATGTATAAAATAAATACAATAAATTGAAATGCTGGCAATGAGTATTCCCTTGAGAACAATTGCGGAAACCAATCACGTAGTTGCTGTGCAGTGGCCCACATTACCATTGCTCGATGCACACTTAAGCGTCGGCAATTTTAACCCAACTAGCCGCAGTATGGTCCCATATACACATATGTACGTGTGTATGTAGCTGAGAATGAGTTGTTCAGCAATAGAAGCAGCAACGGCAGCAGCACATTCGAAAATCAGCAATGCAGACAATGTAACTAAAAATAAAGACATGCCATCTACTGTTGAATACGTGAGGAAACGCGAGTTATGTAATTTCAACGCTTTGCGCCACACAAGCGCGTTTTAGTTAGAACTCTTTCGCCTTACTCGCCCATCCGACTATTCAACTGCCAACTTATCAATAACCAATGAAAATTCTGACTGCCGCCAAATACTTGACAGCTAGTAAACTCACACGTACATATATATATTTTTTAGTGCTTGCATCGTACTCTCTCTTAGCATATTTCAATGACCTTATTTGTGCGCCTCAACTGATTGCAACTCGATTTTTTGTTACCCAGGCGCATTTACGTGGTTTTGTTGCTCATACGCCGTGTTGGCGCGCTTCCTATGATTTGGTGATTGATACAAACACATGCGAAACACACCATGTATATGTGTTAGTATAAATTGCACAATTGGTATTCCATTGAGTGTTCGTAATAGTGAATTATGTAAGTATATATGTACATATGTGCATGAAACAGTTCATGTGGTGTCGAAAACGCCTTGAAATATGTTAGTATGCTGCCACGAAAATTGGCAGCCCAGATATTGATTGAAATGATTGAGTGTGGCACACTACAGGAGATAACAATGTGTGCGCATACGTGCATATATTCTTTATGGCAATTCAACTGCTATGTTACTAAGACGAATTTTACAGCGCTTTTAAAGAACCATGTGCTTATTTACTTAGTTTGATTGAAAATCTCCAAAATTTACGCCTTTAACTGAGGTTTATAAATATTTCACGTTTAAAAGGTGTAATTGATTTGTGGTTAGGTAAGGTTAAAACTTTGTAAAATATTTAAAAAAAAAAAACATCTTAAAACTGTCGTAAAAATTATGAGTTTTTAATTCAATTTTTAGAAAGATCTCATTGAAAGCAAGCCAATAAAAATTGTCAGTAATTGTCTCTCTTTAACTCAATATCATCACCGAGACTGTTCTCCGTCAATGCTATACTTTTATGGAATCTAAGAAACAACTTTAACAGAAGCAACTTCAAGGTCTCTTTTAATGAATGCGAATAAATAATTTGGACTGACCATCTATTTTTAAATTGTTTATTGTGTTAGTATCCAAGTTTACAGTAGCCCCCTTTCCTTAATTTACCTTTATGTAATTATTTGTACTAATATATCCTCAATAAACTGAATTGAATTGAATTGAATTGAATCTTGAGTATGCAGTTTCAATTTTAATAAAATAAAATGCAAACTAGAAGAAACTAGGACTTACCTGTAGTTTTTTCTAACTTTTTCGTTAAAGGTGTCGCTCATTTTCTCCGTATAAAAAATCATCGAACCTACTTTGTATAAAAAAAGAAAATGCGTAACACCATAAGCAAAAATAAAAAAGGAACAGTCCAGCGCCTTCGTCTTGGTCTGCAGGCTGTATCAAAAACGAAAGCACACACTAAGAAAAAATATCGATAACAAAAGCGATAATAATATCTATAGCAAAATCGATAAAAACATCGATACAAAAATCGATGAAAATATCGACATCAAAATCGATAATAATATCGATCAAAATCGATATCAAATTCTATAACAAAATCGATAAAAATATCGATAACAAAATTGATCACAAAATCGATAACACAGTCGATTATAAAGTCGAAGATAAAAACGATAACAAAATCGATCAAAATATCGATAACAAAAGCGATAACAATATCGATAGCAAAATCGATAAAAATATCGATAATAATATTCAGTATTGAAAGTGCGCCTGCTCACCCATTCTTTTTGTGTTTTAGGTCTTATTATCCTTTAAATTCTAAATGCAATTTTAATGAGCTCGCCATACGCATAAGGAGGCCACACATCCTCTTACCTATTCAAGTGAATCAAAATAAAAAACATAATTTCCGTTTAGTTTCATGAAAAGTGGAATTAAATTCCAAAGTCATCCAGTTGTTTTCTTTAATTTCATCACTTCTCGTCAAACTTAATCATTCTATAAAATGAAATTAAAAAGAAATTTCTCTGATGCCCACAATTTCAGTTACAAGCTTAGATCTTAAGGCAAATATGTGTACCTGTTCAAGTAAAGCGGGGCGTAATATTAATAGGATTTCATATAACCGTAACGCAAAGCCAACAGGTAGGTATGCAGGCGGATATCCGTACACCTTCAAACACATATGCACATACCTACATACATAAGTAATCTTCAATTTACGAAAGAAGTGCGTATGTGCAACAACTGCAAGTCAAATAGATTCTTGTCAACAGTCGCATAAAACCAATAGCAATCAATGTTTGACATACGTTTATTAAAAGAGTAAATAAAATACTTATTTATGCTTCACTGAATAATTCTGCCTTTTCTTTTCTCTCTTTTGCCCTCTCTTTTCTCGTTTATGCGGCTTGACGTCAACACGCAATCAATTCCAATTTCTAATTACGGACCTACTATGGCAACACTATCGATACACAATGATAACAATAACCGCACAATCACAATGGCAGACGCACCATCGGATGGGGCTGGTGAATCCTATGGCACACATTTCTCAGCTTTTGAACGCTACAAAGCGCAGCGGCGCAACAGTCGGCGCTACGGGCATAAAATGTACAAGAAAAAATACAAGGATTACCTGAATTACGCAACAATATCCTCGTTGACAGCCAGAGCGAGGGGGGCAGCAATGGAGGCAACAACAACAACAAAAGCACCTGAAATATCAACAGCATTGTCGGCTGTGGCAAATGCAACTGCAACGAGTGCTAAGCACACAAACAACGCGATACAAGCAAAATTGACAAATAGCAGCTACAACGATTACTATCGCAAACAGGAGTCAGAGCAAGAGCAGCGAGGGGAGCCGGTTACCTATGCAACAGCACAAAAGCACGCTGAGAAGTTGAGAAAGTATGCGAGGAAAATTGAAGCGGAAATATCACGTGGATTACCAGCATCGCCAATATTTGTTGTCGGCAATCGAAGTGGTGGTGCTAGTGGCGGAGTTGGTGCAAATCCATTCTACGAAGGGCAAATAAACTACTACCTACAGACAAGAGATGACGACGACGACACGGAGGATACAAGAGCGGGTGGCGAAGGCGACAAGTTGGCAGTCGGTGGTGGTGATGAGGGTAAAGAAAATGCTGACGCCGCATTGGTGAGGGAGCGGGAGGAACGCTTGCGGGCGCACGGACGCAGCATGGAGCGCATGATAGCAGCGGACCATAACAACTGGTATCGGCGTGTAAGCCCAGTGCTGCGTAACGGTATTAAAGTCTTGGGCAATGAAGGTAAATATCAGCACGGTCAAACGGCAGGTAGTCAACAAGACGAGCACAAGCAACAAAACCAACCGCCTGAACAGCAGCAACATGCCGCACCACAACATCAGCATCAACATCAACACCAGCACACGCATCATCATCAACGCAATCACTTTCTACAGCACCATCAGCATCAACATCAACAGCAACATCATCGTCGTCAGCACGCGCACATGCATACGCATGCAAATAAACAACAGACACAGCACGGTATTCACTCGCATCGGCGTGGTGGTGGTGGTGGTAATCATCACAAGCATCGTCAACATAGTAAACATTATCAATCAACCGACCGACGTCAGCACCAGCAGGAACAGCAAAAGCAACACACAACCGATTCACATCAGCACAAATTGCCGGCAAGCGCACTCGATCCGCCCTCGCCGCACGCCTCAGCCACACAAGCCGCCGTGGAGCTGGGTATGGTGCAGACTCCTATACCGCCGCCGTCATACATCAAGCAACATCAGCAGGAAACTGTCGCGGGTACGGTTGCAGGTACGAGTGGTAGCGGCGCATTGCAATTAGGCCATCAGATAACCGACTTGGAGGAGTTCGAACGCTATTACGCCAAATGGCCACACTTGGCGCGCGTACAGTTCCAGGTCTACGATGAACATTACCGCGAAGCCCACCCTGAACTCTATCCTGAAATGAAAGGTGGCGTTGACGACGAGAACGCGGATGCAGATGAAGACTATGACGATGACTACGAGAGCGCTGCAGAGCTGGAGGAGGCACAAAGTGGTCACGATGAGGACGCCAACTTGCCGCCGTACATTAAGAAGTACAACCGCCGTAATAAGCAGCTGCTGAATCTACTAGAGGGCACACTACCACCGCCGACGCGCCCTCCACCCGCCCTTATGCGCAGCTGGTCCAGCTCGATGCTGCAGCCGGGACCGCATGCGAGCAGCCGCAGTGCGGGTGGCGGCAGCATTGGTCGAGTACGCATCGATGACGATTACTTGAAAGAGAAACGCAAACGCTATCACAATCGTGACATAAGCAGTGCCGGCGTCAGCAGCAGCAGCAGCAGTGCAAATGGCAATGGCAAAGCTAACCGCAAAGACGACCCAAATCGTTATGAAGATTTATTTGCCCCGCAAAGAGATGTGCCAGCAACCACCAGCGAGGCCACGCGCCAAGCGCCAGCTGTGTCAGCTAATAGAGAAGGAGTCTCGGCAGCGCAAAAGTTGCAAAACGACGCAGACGTACTACGCGGTGCGCTCGAAAAGGTAGCGCAATCAACCAACCAGCTACCAGACGATGATGTTAGCATTTCGAGAGACACAGAGACAGACACGGACAGCGACATCGCCTCTTACGCCGCCGACGATGGTGACGTTGACATTTGGCCAAAGGAAATCGAAAATAAATCGAATGCAAACAAATTGGCAGGAAGCGCGCAAATGACATGGCAAATCGAAAAATTAACAACACCCAATCCATTGCACGCGCACCACACCACTGTCGCGCCGAGCTCACCGAAGGCAGCCATTTTTCGTTTGCCCTCATATCCTGCTATAGCCGGTAGTTTTATTGGAAAACCGCGTAGTCGTAGCGCGCAATTCGCACCAAGCGGCGGAAGTCGTGGCAAACTTGCTTTTATCGCGCCCGCGAGCTATGACCTTCACGGCAATCGTTGGAGCAATATTTATGGCAGCGGGGGCGGTGGTGGTGGTGGTGGTGGTGGCGTCGGCAGCAGCAATGGTCTTGGCATTAACGGTAATCACCATAAATCTTTGTCTCGCTTCAGCGCTTATAAACCGAACGTGCATAAAACGCTAACAGCCGCTGCCGCATTGAGCGCGACGAGAACCACAGCGCCGCCGCCATTTATGTGGCATGCAGCGGGTGACGGCATGGGGGGTGGTGGTGCCGACTTGGCCGACACAACCACAGCAACAGCGGTTACGGCAACGCCGAGTAGCGGCAGCAGTGATGAAGGAGATGGCATAGCAAATGGCGGAGTGGGTCGCACAATTAGCTCCTTCGTCTATCATCGAGTGATTGATGCGTCACCGCGTCTGGTGGGCACCGGCGCCACGGGACGCAAGCAACGATTGCCATTTGTGGCTATCACCGATCGCCGGCTAGAGACTACGAGGAAGGCGCTGCTGGAGCGGCAGAAAGATTTCGAACAGAATCACTACCCAATGCCTTAAATTCACTGCACTGCAAGGACTGCGGCAGCGAACGTAACTTGGACATAGACGGAGACGAAGACGAAAACGAAAACGATACCGAAAACGGGAGGGAGACAGACGCAGCGACGATGAAAATAAAAACGAGCACAAGCACTTGGACGAAGACAGAAACGTAAGCGTGAATCGAATTATTGACACAGACGGCGATTTAAAAGCGAATGCAGAAGAAATAGCAAAAAGAGAAAAAGATAATATAAAAAATAGTATTAAGAAGTTTAAGTCAGAAAAGTGAAAAAAATCATACAGACTTAAAGCGAAGCGGAATAAAATGCAGGCAAATTTCAATGCACTACCGCAAAAAGCACAAACAGAGCGCGAAAGTAGACACAAACAACAGCTGCTTGTGCAACTCAACACACCACACAGCAAATGAAGCAAAGTAACTCAAAAAATTAAAAAAAAAAAATCTTACGAAAAGGCGTTTTCATTAATTCTCGCAACACCCGTTGAATTGAATAACTTTTCGTTTATTAGAATCAGAAATTCTACCGAAAACATTCAATGCTGCGCGAAAACGATTTTGTATATAAATTGATTTTGACTTTTTGATTGGCAAATTGAACTTTTTCGATTTTATTTTCAACAGTTACAAGTTTTTACTAACAAATATTTACTTACATAAATATGTACATCATCTACACATACATATATTTATGCATTCTTCTGTATTAAGCTTTAATAGAATTAAACTAAGATCAGAATTTTTATGCCCAGAAACAACCCGAACCAATTTTACAATAATAAGCATACGCAAGAGAGCAGCCGATACAGAGATTGCAACAGGAAGAAGAAACATTTATAAGAGCGTGCATATGTAAATGCATACACATACACATTAGGGTGGTTCTTAAATATCAACATCATGAGGCAGCCCTTTACAATAAAAACTTACACGGAAAATTAAACAATTTTTAAAACTAGTAATTTTCAAGCAAAAACTCAATCGACTTCAATGCCCATATACAAATTTTATTATTACCTTCAATTTCGTCATTAACCGGTGATCAAAACTACACTAAATTAGTGTAGGACCACCCTTGAAGTACCATTTTTCCGATCAAAAAGACATACATACCGATGAATTGTTAGCCTCCTCCTTTTTTTGAAATCGGTTACGAATCTTGGGGTCATTACCGGATTTTTAAAAAATATAAATTTTTTTAGATCCCGAAATATCGACAAAATTTCGACTTTGGTCAGTTATAACTCAGTGAATTTATAAATTCGCATGAATATGTTTCGATAATATACTTGTAAAATTTATCAGATTTACAGCCGGTTTCTAATTCTAAAATTTTCTTGGATGTCTTTATTTTGTACTTAGAGCAAAATAAATGTCTGCTCCATACAAAATTTAAATGTTAATATTTTAAGGAGAAACCCAATACGCACGTACACACATACCTACACACTCATTAGTTTACAAGTTGCATTACCCCACCAAATTCTTAATGTCCCATAAACCCTCACGAATGTTTACTTTAGAAGCTTGACAAATTACTTCCAAATAAAAGAAGCATTGATTTTCTAAATGCCCTATTTGCATATGTATGTATGTAAATATCGATGGTCCTATGTAATAACGGCACAATTCAAAATTCAAAAAACAAAAACTGTTACTACTGTTAAGTGACTCTTGTCTTTAATCCTTGTCTAATCCATTTCTATCCCTAACTAAAGTAAGCTGTAAGGATTGCTAAAGTAAATACAAAAGATTAGAGATGGATTCGAAAAGGATAAGAGACAAGAGTCACTTAACAGAGGTAACAGTTTATGATTTTTTGAATTTTGAATTGTGTCGCTATTCAACAGGACCATCGATATATAACCCCAACGTGAAAAATCTATACTCGCTTCATTTGGCCTGGCACTGGACCGGTCCATTGCCAGTGCATTTTACGATGATGACTGAAGCTTCATTGCTAAGAGCTCTCTGAGAAGCAGACGCTTTAGACAATCAGCGACTGGGCTGCAAAGGTTAACGGTTACACTATTCACTAGGAAATACAGAGCAGTTTGCAGAGCAAACAACTGTTAGTGGAGACCACTTTAGAACCAAATCCAAGCAAAGGGTGTGTGTTAAACTTACTGGACAGCAAACTTTAGTTGAAACTGAATGTGACAAGTGGATAAAGAATGCATCGGCGTCAACCTTGGCAGAAGGAATAGACCATGCGGTGCCGTACCTGGGTTTCAAAAGGCCTTTTGGAGCTATGAAGAGTTAAATGGTACGGAAATGAAAGCTGATATGACGCACATTGTTATGGCAATAATTATCCGCATTAAAGTTGCTATGCAAAATAAAGCGTTATTTCTCCGTCAAGACTTCGCCACTGTTACATTATTTGTGTTAGACTTATTTATTTATTATCTTAAAACTGAACCAGCTGACTGAGTGGTGTATATGGACAAGGGTAATTTGAGTGCACTTGACAACATTGTGTCAGCAGGTTTTCAATATCGGCATTATAAAGGAATGCCGAAAGTATATTGAACTGCCAATCAATTTGGATCAATTGTGCAATAGCATATGGTTTTTACTCTTTACTCTTTGTAAGAATGTCAAAGCTAACGAATTAGTGGGACCTGCGATCTACTGCTCTGAACCACAAATTAGCTGGTCTTGTAAGCGACTGGATCATTATAGTTTTTTTCAAGCCNGTAGTGGGACCTGCGGTCTACTGCTCTGAACCAAAAATTAGCTGGTCTTGTAAGCGACTGGATCATTATAGTATTTTTCAAGCCAAAATTATGGCAATAATGAGCGGGAGAGGGACACGATTCAAATATAGTTCATTCTCTAACGAAACCCATATAAATGCAAGTTTCAAACTTCGCAGAAAATTAAAGAAAAAAAGCTTCAAAATTTAAAACTTTTTTCTACGATTTTTTGAGTAGCCGATTTAGATTTAGAAAGTGCAAGTTTGAAGTAGCTACAAATTACCATTGATTTTTAACAATTTTTTTACTCACGCTCTTCCGCAATTATTTCTCTACATATAACGCATGCTCGCATTCCTTTAGAGAGATTTGGAATATGCAGTTTTGCGCCCGATTCAATTTAAGTATAAAAAGTGCTAGTTTTTCGTAATTAGGCCTTACCGTTGATTTTTTATTTTTTTTTTGTTTTTGTTGAATGTATCTCCATACTCTATCAATCATCCGAGCAAATTCATCTATAATTCACCTTTGTTCGCACATCATTGAACTGCTGAAATAATTAACTGGAAGTTAATTTAGATTTCAATTGTCGATTGTACCCATATGTATGCTATAATATGCACTTATGTATTATACGATTTCACTTGACTGCACCATTTGCATACACATCACTCAAACAAGCATACTACATATCACATAATTGAGGTGACCATCCGTCCTGTATTATACGGGACAGTCCTCTCTTTTGACCCATTGTCCTGGGAATTTATTTATTTTATAGGGGACGCCAAATGTTGTGTATTTCTTTTAATGTATTCGGAGTTTGACACCTTAACAGCTCATTAAAATGGCACGCCTATGAATAAGAATAAGCCTTTTCCTAACTTTTCCAACTTTGTGCAAAAAACTATAAAAATTAAATCTGCAATGTTTCAAAAAAAATTTGGTGTGCAGTTTTGTAACTCATTAAAATCCAATATAATAANATCTGCAATGTTTCGAAAAAAATTTGGTGTGCAGTTTTGTAACTCATTAAAATCCAATATAATAAAGTGCGAGTGGAAAGTGCTGCCCATTTGCTTCTATTTCAAAAAAAAAAATGGTCGAACATACTTACATTGTATGAACAAAATGCATAACGCCGTCAACAAACAAAAAATTTCCAAAAATTATTGGTAAGCCTGAGCGACTTAAAGTTGCTCTTTATTATACTAAAATTTAACGATTTTTTTTTATTATTATTATTATTATAAATTATTTGTTGCCCCGTATTCGACTCTCATAAATATGGTCACCGTACACATATAATCCAAATGAAGGTTTCATACTCAGCATCAGATATGTGCATATTAACAATGCATTTCATAGAAAGTGAACACAATAAATATGAATGTCAAGTAAATGAGCAACAAACAATACAGAATTATGTGCATTCGGCTATGTAGACATGTGTGTGTATGTACATATGTATGTAATGAATTATGATATTACAAAGCGACAATTAAATAAATATTTCGTTTGTATATGTTTAAACGTGTAATTATATNGTCTTTGTTATATTAAAATTTAACGAATTTTTTTTTAACAAATTTTATGGGGTAAAAATCTCGTGAAAATTATCCTACAATTTTATGATGTTATTAAAAGAATACGGTTTCTGGGCTAATCCATCTTGTATCATTGAAGAAGGCTTTAAGATCTTTGCCCCGTATTCGGCTCTCATAAATATGGTCACCGTACACATATAATCCAAATGAAGGTTTCATACTCAGCATCAGATATGTGCATATTAACAATGCACTTCACAGAAAGTGAACACAATAAATATGAATGTCAAGTAAATGAGCAACAAACAATACAGAATTATGTGCATTCGGCTATGTAGACATGTGTGTGTATGTATATATGTATGTAATGAATTATGATATTACAAAGTGACAATTAAATAAATATTTCGTTTGTATATGTTTAAACGTGTAATTATATTTTATATTCATGGAAATGCTTAAGTGGCAATTAACACATGTAAACTGGTCATTAAAAAAAATTTGAACTCATGTGAAGATGAATGACACAGGTATGGATACAACTAAAGCTTATTTCAAGTGCATATGTATGAAAAATGATAATTCCACAACTAAATATTTTCAATGTAGAGCAAAAACCAAAAATACACAAACACCGAATGTATTGAAAAAACTTTGATTTGGTGTGGTGCAAAGTTAATTTTAAAAAAGGCATGAGCTCTAGATACTCTTGAAATTTGATATGCGTCCTGAACTAGTCCTAACGTATTTCCGAAAAAGTCCTGAACCATACCCGAAATTTTTCTGAAAAAGTCCCTCACTAATCCTGAAATAGACTAAAGTTCCGAACTAGGTCTTAACTAGATCCAAAGAAGTCCTTAACTGGCCCTTCTTCTTCTTCTTATTTGGCACTGCAACCATTTGTCGGTTTGGGCCGAGACCAAAAATGTTGAACCATTCCCGACAAATTTATTTTTTAGTTGCCAAATTATCGCGAAAAAATCTGGAACTATAACAATGACCAGTGTTAGTAGAGTAGTGGATGAGATTTTTTTTCTTTTGTAATACTTCTGAATAAGTCTTCAGTAATTTTAAAATTTCTGGCTGGCATTTTATCAATGCACTATCTTTTAATTATTTTTTTTTTATAACTTGCATATAGGGTTAAGATCCAAGTTGTAATTTAAGTATCGGTCGAATTCTCTATCTCGAGAGGACTCTGTGGGAAAGTAGGTGTAAAAGCACCCAAAAATACTTTTTTGAGTTTTACGCCGTTTTTTTTTTTAAACCATGACGTGACGGGCACTTTTATTCCATATCCTCTATCATAAAAACCGTGTAGACCTGTGTTATCTTTGCATAACGCGATCCACGTTTATCTTCCCTAAAAG